TGGAGGCCGTTTGCCTTCGTAGCTCCTTGGCACAGTGATTGCAGAGAGCCCTGAGGTTGGGTGGGACCTGGGGTTGGTTGTATGAAGTGGGCGGCTGCGGGAGGCAGCTGAGGCTGTGGGTACAGGGCCGTGCCTACAGCTCTGTACTGGGTCCTGGTGCAGCCCCCCAGTGGGGTGCACTGCTGCTGACCTGCTTGATTGTGGGTGGGTGGGCAGGGGGGGGCTCTCAGCTGTGCCAGTGTGTGTGCCCCACCTGGCCCCTGGCACCTGGCTCAGGGAGGCAGTGTCTCAGGCTTGTGGTGGCATGTGCAGCTGGGTGTACACGGTGCTGCGGCCAGCAGGGGCCCCTCCGGGGAAGGCACTCGGGCAGCTGCTGGTGCTGCCGTTTGGTTTGGGTGGGTGGCTGGGCTGGCCGTGTCTGCAGTGCAGCCCCTCACCCAGCCCTGGGCTCCTCCCCCAGGACTTTGACCGGCTGCTCCAGGTGCTTCGGGCTGCCCTCGCCGAGGACCCGGGCTCCGGCTTCGTGTTCAGCTGCCTCAGCGGCCAGGGCCGGACCACGACTGCCATGGTGCTGGCCGTGCTGGCCTTCTGGCACACCCGGGTATGGTGGCCGTGAGTCGGGTGGGGGGCCACCAGGCAGGGGCAGCCCAGCCCCCCGGAACAGTGGCTGTAGCAGCAGGGTGCTTGGTGCAGCCCTGGGGCCTCCCCTCATCTCTGGGCAGAAGCATTTGGGGCTGGCAGACCCCCAGCCAGGGGCTCCAGGTGGCAGGGGAGGGCTGAGGCCAGGGTGGGAGACCCCGTGCCAGCTGCTGTCTCCCACAGGGCTTTCCCGAGATGGGTGAGGAGGAGCTCGTGAGTGTGCCGGACGCCAAGTTCACCAAGGGCGAGTTTGAGGTGAGTGCCCCCTGTGGGGTTCGTCGGGATGAGGGGCTCAGTTATGTCGTTTTAGGGGGTTATGATCAGAGGTCAGGCTGTGCAGGCCTCAGGGACCTGGGCTCAGGTAGTACTTCCCATACGGGGCTGCGAAGAGATGGCTTTTTGCGCTTTGGCTGAAGTAAGACCTGTTTGCCACCCGCAGGGGCCGGGAGCAGGTGGACTGCCAGTTGGGCTGCCGCAGCTACTGACAAGAGGCAGCCACCAGATTAGTGGCTGAGGAAGGGCCTCTGCTGGAGGGGCTGGGGGACAAGAGCCTGACCTTCACAGGCTGAGTGCCCGAGGGGAGGGAGTGCTGGTATCAGTGAGCATGTCCACGGAGAACTCCATAGAGAGGGTGTCCCCCTGGGGGGCCGAGCTGGACTATCCCCCGCCCTCCCACATCCCTCGTCTGGGACGCCGATGTTCCTAGATTTGAGTCCACATAGATTTTCTTGCACGAAGCAGGACACCCGTGAGCCTGCCCTCGGGTTGCCCAGGACCACACCCCCCACACACAACCCCAAGCTGTCAGACTGGGGAACAGGCAGGATGCTGGTCAGGGCTGGCCCTCCAGGCCCTGTGTGCCCTGGGCCGGTCACACTGTCCTCCCCCGTCCCCCTGCCCCTGCTGGCTTTCTGACTGATCATCCCCCCCAACCCGGGCCCTAGGTGGTTTTGAAGGTGGTGCAGCTGCTGCCAGATGGGCACTGTGTGAAGAAGGAGGTGGACGTGGCACTGGACACGGTCAGTGAGACCATGACACCCATGCACTACCACCTTCGGGAGATCATCATCTGCACCTACCGCCAGGTGAGCCCCACCGGCCCTTAGCCCCGCCCCGCCCCTCCTCGGGGATCGCTGCAGCTCCTGCCCCTGTCTGCGGCTCTCAGTCACTTCTTCACTTTCCAGAAGTAGAGGTTCAGGTGGCCCCTGAATGGAGATGGCCCCGCCACCCCCCAGCCCAGTCCAGCCCCCTTGGTTCTGGCATGTTTGGTGGGAGGGGCAGTGTTCAAAGCGGTTAGCAGTTGTGGGGGCCACTTTGAGTGGACACCCAGGACTCCAGGGTCCTGTGGGCCACGTACTAGCTTTCTGCTTCAGGCGGGCACCTTGGGGATAGGCTGTTCTGGATAACCAGCGGGCTGTCAGCTCAGAATCTCGGGGTGTCTGCTGCCCCGGGAGGGGAGATAAGTACCAGGTGGACTTTGCCCCAGTGAAAGTTGTTGCTGACTAGCTTGTTAGAATTTCAAAAGTCCTGTAATTTTCATAAAAGCCCTCATTTAATGGATTTTTCAGGCTCTCTAGAAAAACATGGGGCAGGCTGGGTTATTCCTCCCTGGCCGGCAAGGGGCGCATGTCTTCAATGGCCCTGCTCCCTATGGGCCTGTGCTGCCACCCTCATTCTGGGCCCTCTCTGTCTAGAACCTGATCCCCTACTGCCCTCCGCTAAGCCCCATGGGGTGGAATGACTGCTGAGCAATGGCCAGGGCTGAAGGTTGAGGCAGGCTGTGTCTTAGGTCAGAGGTCACTTGGAATCGGGGGTGGGGGGTGGGGGGGTGTTTACAGAGATGAGGAAGATGCCACATGGGAGGGAGGTGGAGGTGGTTAGACAGACTTGTCTTGCATGCTGCCACAAGGTGGCAGCAGTGAGCTGAGGCTGAGCCCCTGCTCCTGAGCGGGGCACTCACGGCGCAGGGGCGTGTTTCCACGGCTCTGTGCCTAACCCTAACTCCCAGTCCTGCCCTTGCACCTATTCCGACTCCCAGCAGCCCTGTGGGAGAGGGTCGAATTCCTCTGTGGGCTTCCAAGACTGTAACTCTTGAACTCCGAAAACCAATCTCACTGTCATCGAGAGGATGTCGACTCATAGAGACCCTTTAGGACAGGGTGGAACTGCCCCCGTGAGTCTGTGAGGCTGTAATTGTTTACTGGAGCAGAAAGCCCCGTCTTTCTCCCTCGGAGCGGCTGGTGGTTTAGAACTGCCTACCATGCTGATGGCAGCCCAGTGCATAACCACTGGGAGTTGAAAGTCCAGTCTCTCTCCCGTGGAGCGGCTGGCTCTTTCAGACTGCTGACTTTGCAGTTATCAGCCCAGGGCATAACCACTGTGCCACCAGGGCTCCCAGCACCCCTGTCTAACCTTGCTTCCAAGCACTCTGGACTCCCAGCCAGCACTGCACAGGCCAGAGCCCCTCCACACACTCAGCCCTGTTAGCCCCACACTGCTTCCCAGCCCTTCCAGGGCTGACGGCT